TTTCCGGGACTCCGCCCCGCCTCCGTCTGCCCCCCCCCCCCCCAGCCTTCCTTCTCTTCTCCTCGCCAATCCCCGCCCCTCCTCCTCGTATGTCTCTTCCCTTCTGGTCCTCCTCCTCCTCTGTCCCTACCCCTGCACTCTCGAACCCCCTCCTCCTCCGTGCCTCCCTCGCTCTCCACACCAGGACTCGCTCCTTCCTTCATGCCGCCTCTCCTCCCCATTCCCTTCCTCTCCTCCTCCTCCGTTTCTCCCCTCCTCCCCACTCCCGGCCCATCATCCTCCTCCGCTTCTCCCCTCCCCTCCAGTCCCGGCCCTTCCTCCTTTGTCCCTCTCCTCCTCCCCACGCCCAGCTCCTCCACCTTCTCCGTGCCTCCCCCTTCCCCATCCAGGCCCCTCCTCCTCCATCTCTCTGCTTCTCACTCCGTGGCCCTCCTCCTCAGTCTTCTCCCCGCTCCCCATCGTCCTCCCCCGCCCCGCCCCTCCTCCTCCCAACCTCCCACTTCCGGCCCCTCCTCCTGCCTGCCTCCCCTCTCCCTCACTCCCAGCCTTTCCCCCTTCTCCTCCTGCCCCCACTCCCAGACCCTCCTCCTCCGTGCCTCCCCTTCCCTACTCCAGGACCCTCCTCTTCGATCTCTTTCATTTCCAGACTTGGACCTTCCTCCCTCTGCTTCACCCCTCCCGTCTCCCGTCCCACCCCAGGGCCTTCCTTGCTGCCACCCCCATTCCCTCCAATTCTCTTCTGTCTCTTGTCCTTCCCACTGCTGGCCTCTCCTCCCCCTCAGTCTCCCCCCTACCCCCCACTCTTCCCCCCCAGCTCTGCTCCCACACCAGGCCTGTCCCTCTTCCCATGCATTCCCAAGCTTGGGTGACCCTGGTCTCCAGAGAGGTGTCAAACCTTTCCGGGCTGTAAAAGCACGTGACATCTGCGCTCTGTTTACTCAGAAAAGGGCATGAGGAGTCTGATTCAGAGACCCCTGAAGACTCAGTCCACACCCTGTTCTGGGGACCATCTTTGCTAAACGTGTGTCTACACGCATAGGTGCATGTGGGGGGTTGCATGGGCATATGTGTGTGTGTGTGGACAGATGGGGGGTGTGGGGTGGGGTAGAGATGCATGTGGATGAAGGGTGTATGTGTGTGTGTGTATGTGCGGGGTGTGTGCACATGCGCCGTGTGTAGGGAGGTGGGTGGGAGTGGTGTGGGTGTGGAGTGCATGTGTGGATGCATGTAGGTGAGGGGTGTGTGTGAGTTCACACTGGTGCATGTGTGTGCCATGGGGAGTGGTGTGCACAGGATTAATTCCAGGTGCTGAGAGGTTTAACTTGGGACTCAGGTCCTGGTGAGGCAGGGTAGCTAGCACAAGTTACACACACACAGATAAATTTCCTACAGGCAGGTTTTAGGAAGCGTTCAGACATTTTTTTTTTGAGTTGGAGTCTCACTCTGTCACCCAGACTGGAGTGCCACTCTGTCACCCAGACTGGAGTGCAGTGGCCGCTTCCGGCCACCACAGCCTCGACCTGCTGGGCTCCGGCGATCC